TTGCCGGCGACGGTTGCTAGGGTTGCCGGAAAAAGGATGAGAATAATGATGAGTATGCGATGAAAAACGATGAAGAAAATGACGCTCCAAGTGAGCGGCACTTCAGTCCGGCAACCCTCGGCAACCACCGGCAACCATTGCCGCCTATGGCCGTTCCCTTACGAAAGCAACAGTAAATAGGACCAGTAGCTTGATTAAAATGAACATACCTGAGCTGAATGGCACCGGATAGCGTTGTTACTCGAAAAGTATCCTTGTAAAACAGCCTGCCAATAAATTTGGATCACAGTCGATCCCAGACCCGATCCAGCTTGGTCCATCTCTTTGAGATTCTCTTGCTCTTTTCCTTTCCCAACTAAAAGAATGGATTTGAGTCGGGTAAATTCATCAGGACTACACTAAATCAACTCACACATCTGATCTCCTTTGATCAACTTCAACTCTTCCGATTTGAGAAACTCCTCCAGATTCTGGAGAGCTTGCAGTCGCATTTCGGTAAAGTTGGGATCATCGGAACTTAGCAGTACATGGTACATATTCTTTACACCTCGACACATCAGATACTCAGGATATCGAGCGCAGAGATGACCTGAACAGCACGATCATACTCTAACCGGTTTACACGAAAAAATTTGGTTTGCCTCAACAAAAGGAGAACTAACCGAGTGCAACAAATGCTTTGAATCGCATACTGGGCACATTACTGCTGGAGAAAAAGAAAAGCACATCGAAGACGTTATCACGTATCCGCCTGAATAACGGATCCAGTAAAAGGCGTAACAAAGACAATTCAGAGGTTATAGTTAGTACAAACCGTGGTTTCTCAGAATCATGCAGATCTAAATCGTCGGTTCCCAATGAAAGATCTGGCCGTACGAGATGCGCAGGGAATATTTTTGCTTCAAACTCTGGATCTTTGATGATGGAATCAAAGTCGAAATGCCGGGCCATGACTCCTACACCACAAAGGAACCTGTAACGATAGTCTTCAAATATAGAACTGAATAGCGAACAAAACGTGAAGAAAATGCAAAGACAACATCAAACCAACGGCAAACTGGGTCACAACTCCAAATGACTACCTTTGAATGCGCAAAACCTTTGGTCCATCCAAATTGCAATTTGGCTTCGTCTTTAGTGCATTCTTGACTCGCACAAGAAATTCTGAAAAAAA